GCCCGGGCCGGTCTCGAACCACGGCCCGGGCCGTCCTCGCCCTCCGCCTCCCAGAGTGCTGGCACGACAGGCGTGAGCCACCGCGCCCGGCTGATTTGTTGTAGAGACGAGGTCACACCGAGCTGCCCTGGCTGGTCTCGAACCGGCGGGCTCAGGCAGGCCCTCGCCTCGGCCTCCCAAAGTGCCGGGATGACAGGCGTGAGCCACCGCGCCCGGAGGTTTTATTTATTTTTCGGGTCGAGGTCTCTCGCCCAGACTGGAGTGGCAGGACCGCGGCCTGCCTCCGCCTCCGGGGCTCAGCGGTCCCTCGGCTTCAGCCTCCCGCGGGCGCGTGCACCACGCCCGACTGATTTATTTTGTTGGTGTTTTTCCTGGAGACCAGGTTTCGCTGTGTTGCCCAGACCGGTCTCGAACTCTTGGGCTCAAGCGAACCCGCCTCGGCCTCCCAGCGTGTGCTGGGACGACAGGCTTGAGCCACCGCGCCCAGCCAGCGTTTTGGGTTGTGTTTTCTTTAAGGTATGCAAAGGTCGGCGAGGTCTGTGCCATCACTCCCTTGAAAAACCCCTTGCAGGCAGCCGGCTGCAACTAGAGGCCGACACGACGGGGCAAGGGACCGTGACCGCCCGGAGCGACGAAGTCAGCGGCGTGGCCTGACAGCCTCGGCGGGCGGGGATGTCGCGCCGTCTGGTCCGACCTATGGATGCTTCTTCTTTGGATGGGGGCCGACGCCGGGGCGGCTTGTGGCCCACTGCTCGCGTTCCGCCGCCGGCTGGCACGTTGAGGCCCCGCCGCGAGCCGGGCCTTTCTGACCGTTTTCTTCTTTGCCCTCTTTGTAGGTTTCCCTCCTCGCTGTGTGTCGGACTTGGCCAGGTCAGTCGAACCCCCGGCATTGCGCGTTCGTGTTTGGGAGCGTCTGTGTGTGTCTTTGTGGGCCGAACAGTGCATCTGTGTTCTCTGCTTGCAGATGGTGGCCACAGTGGCGGTTCTCTGGGTGGGAAAGGTGCTCAGAGTAGTCAAGTTTCCTGACCTTGACAGAAACGTACCTCGAAAGGTAAAAGGAAACAAAGGAGTGCTTTATTTTGTGAACTGAAGTCGCTGTGTGTACTCTGTCAGAGCCTTGCATAAGTAAAAATTACTGTCTCAAAATTGCCCAGTCTAGAGTGGGAGTCATGGAGGTAAAGCATGAATGTAGCCTATGCCTGCTCAGAAGGTCCCGTCATCTCTTTAGAATTAAGGAAAAAACCCAACCAGGGATCTTCTGTTTTAATTAATGCGCACTTGTTGGGAGTACCGTTTGCAGTCTCTGTATCCATCTGATCTAGCCACTGTTTTCTGTATTCATTATTCCCTGGGTCTGTTTCATGTTTTCTGTCTGCCGCTGCTTGGCTCCACATGAAGATGGAATACCTTTCCTTTATGCCTCGTCATATTTTAAAGCCAGGGAAGTTTCTGGCCCACGTCGATCCCGTTCTTATTTCTGTCTTTTTTTCCTGCCTTCCTCCCTTTCTCTCTTTCTGCCATAGTAATGCTGTTTATCCAGGAAGAGTGTTGCTTGGGTGTTTCACGGGGGTCAAAATTGTGTATGAGAACTAATATTAGCTTTAAGGGGAAAGAATTTGATCGTATAAACAAAATTGTTTCTGTTTAAGAGGACCTTGTTTTAAGTTATCTATATTATTGAGTTTTGTTATCCCTTTTTAAATTTTCTAGACGTTTCCACTACCTCTTCTGTATTTTGGGAACCAAATCACGGGACTGTTCAGCACAAAGAAACTGAAGTATGGATAACTTTATTTTACTAGTGAGGTTAATATAATGTTTTCTTGAAACTTTGCTTGAATGTCAAATGTTTAACACATTGTTACTGATTCTGGAAAGAAATGAAAGGCTCAGGAAGCTGTTACCAAATGAAGGCTTCTTTTACTTTGAAAATAAAGAGGAGTTTTTGGTTTTTTTCTTACTCATTTTGATGTTAGAAGTCTTCAAATGTTATAAAATGCTATAATAGGAGATTTTCCAGACTTGCAGTAGTGAAGGATATATACTAGGCTTCCGGGATTTCAATTCTTCAACATAGCTCATTAATATGATATTTAGACAAATTCCTCACGGCACAATCAGAGTACAGTAGCATCAGATAGAACCCTGATACAAATATTTATATCGTACCCAAGGCAAGATACCTGTAGAGGCAGCATATCCCCTTTAGAAAGAAGTGGTAGCTCTCTACTCCTTGACAACACTTCCTTGTATCTTTCGAACCTTCCATTCCTGGCTTTACCATTTAAGGGGTGTAGTATGTATGGGGCATGTGTGACGTGGTTAAAGAGACACACATAGGGAAACCGTTTAACAGAAACCATGGCTTCACCACTTCAACCAGAGCCAAAACCCTGGCATATCGGATGATTGCAAAACAGAAGGGGGAGATCTCTGAGGATCAGAGACAAAGCATTTTTTATTTTCTCCTCTTTTAACCCCTCAAAACTTGGCAGAACGACCAAGAGGATATCTCCAGGGAGGGTTCCAAGGAATTCAGACTTACCATGGGTGGGGCGTCCTTTTCCATCTCACTGCCCACTTGGAAAGACGTGGAGCCTGCTGCAAAGTGCTGCTTGTGTGGAGTTTGCTTTTCTCATCCACTGTCGTCCATCCATCCATGCACACCCTAGCTTTGATTGCCAGCTAAGTCTAAGGCTCTTTGGAGCGAGATAAGTTATATTCAAAACAGCTATACTGCAAAAGGCCGTATGTTTGATTAGTGCAAGCAAAATGCTCTGAGAATTTAGAGAGAGAGAAAATTACATCCATAAAAGGACAGTTAAGGATTTTCATGGGATAAGATTTTCATAGATGTTTTTTGAGTGGTCTGGGAGGTAGGAAGGGAGATCAGACCAGTGAAGAAATGAGAAAGAAGCCTTTTTCTATTAAAAACAAACATGGCTACAGTTTAGGGAGTTTGCATAACTAGCAGAGTAAAATTTAAAAGTTTTGTAGTTCATTTAATGTTCTCACTTCTTGCAGTTTTCTAAAAGCAACTCCTAGGCTTTCAAATAAGTCTTCTTTCTAGAGAGAAATAGGGATTTAATTTAATCACAGATTAATCAACATGGAATTTCCATAATGGAGGGAAGAGATTTGCATTTTTTTAAACTACCAATTTGGAAAATCTTGGTTTAAAAAACTGTTGAACTTTATTTAACCTAATTATTATTCTTTTTTAGCTTGCCAATGTTTACAGTTCTGAGAAGGTTCTCCATTCTGTTTACAATGTTTGCTGAAGGAGTTTTACTCAAGTGAGCTAAATTTCTACTATCTCTATTCTTTAAGCAAGTTTAATCAACTTGAAAAGATGTCCAGCATGTGTGAGATGTTAAATTATTTGTCTTGCTTTTACTTTAACTTTTGAGAAGTTGAAGCAGTGTTCTCCCATGGCAATTGAAACTGATAGTTTGTGGAAGTGTGAGTTGGGAAGGTTTTGAATTGGACTTGGAAACCTAACTGAACATAAGGTCTGCCTTCTAGAATTTCTGTGACTACTGCGAGAAGCCAGGTCAGAATCATAGGTCGAGGTTTTAAATAATGTTCATGTCTTAGCTCCTCTTACTATAAATGTGTGTGACCTTTTTCTATTGAAAGGCATTCTGGTTTACAAAAATTCAGACTTACTCATGATTACAAATAGTAAGAATAAGAAAACATCTGTGTAATTATTTATATAACAAAATTAGTTTTTGCTTCATCAGAGGGTTTTAAAAGAAATTTCCAGTTTCTTAGGCATGTTTAAAATACTATTGCTTGTAGCTTTTTTTGACAAAGTATACTACATCTTTTTTACCTATGCTCTAAAATGAAAAAAAAATTTCCAGTTTCTTAGGCATGTTTAAAATACTATTGCTTGTAGCTTTTTTTGACAAAGTATACTACATCTTTTTTACCTATGCTCTAAAATGAATCTGTTTGAATAACTGAAATTATTTTTATAGGAAGACGTTTTCTTGGGGTATTCAAATGACCGTATTTGCAATGATCATTGGAGCCTTTGTAGCTGCCAGGTAAGATGTGGGCATATAGAGCACATCACAAATCGTCCAGAGTTGCTGATAATGATTCCTTATTAATAACAGTTCTTTATAGCCTTAATAAGAATCAGATCTTTGAAAGGCATCCAAAAGCCTTTTTAGAAGGTTATATCTTTTTGACTGTATTAAGACCAAGATTGGAAAAATTCAGATTTGGGGATTCTTAAAAGTTAACTTCTTATGATTTAGGATTTGTTACTGTCTTCTGACTGAGCATATACCATGTGTTGTACAGTTTGTTGGGTGTTCAACACACATTACTATCTATTCTTTTTTTTGAGTTGGAGTCTCACCCGGTCGCCCAGACTGGAGTACAGTGGCCGCTCCCGGCCACCGCAGCCTCGCCTGCTGGGCTCCGGCGATCCACCTCAGCCTTCTGAGTAGCTGGAATTACAGGCATGCACTGCCATACCCGGCTGATTTTTTTATTTATTGTAGAGATGAGGTCTCGCTGCCCAGGTGGGTCTCGAACCCGCGGGCTCAGGCAATCTACTCACCTCAGCCTCCCAAAGGCCCAGGATTACAGACTGAGCCACCAAGCCCAGCTTATCTATTCTTCACAACAACTCTGAGAGGGAGGGGTATTACGTTCCTGTTTTATAGTTGAGGAAACTAACTATAAATCTCTATATAAGTCTCTACTACAAATCAAAAAAACTACAAGTTCAGTAGCTTGCTCAAGGTCACACAACTAGTAGATGACTGAGCTGGCTTTAGAATCTTTGCCTGACTTCAGAACCTGTGTGATTTTGTCAGCCATGCTGCTCAAGAAAAGCATGTCTTCTCTTCTGTGAACTGAGGAGAATGACTACATCCTTTGCCTTGTAGAACGATGAATAATTGCGTTGCTTCCGTTGGCCTTATAAGATTTATCACAAATGTCATAACCGGCCAGGCACAGTGGCTCAGCTTGTAATCCCAGCACTTTGGGAGGCTGAGATGAGGGGATTGCTTGAGCCTTGGGGTTTGAGACCAGCCTGGGCAACTTGGTGAGACCTCGTCTCTACTATAAATCAAAAAATTAGCCTGTAGTTCCAGCTACTTGGAAGGCTGAGGCGGAAGGATTGCTTGAACCCAGCAGATGGAGGCTGTAGTGTCCATGAGCATGCCACTGCGTTCTAGCCTGGGCGACACAGACTCCAACTCAAAAGATAAAAAAAAATACAAATGTCATAACTTAGGTATTCTATTAAATTAAAACTTTTTCTGTTTTTCTTAAGTTTTAGTTTTAAAACACGTGAGGAAATTACAAATCCCTAAACTCAGATAATTAAAATGTTTGCAGAAAACCTTCTACAGTATTTTACTCAGCCCAGGATATGAATATATAGATACGGTTTCCTCGGCTATAAATTCTGCCTGACGTACATTTATCCTCTGAGAGTTCCAGTGTGCTTCTGGGTTGGCTTATTTACCTCCATTATACTCCTGTGGTATGGGTGGGGGGAAATACTATAAGTCAAATTCTGTTTATTCTCAATCTCCAAGTGAAGGTTCATTTTTTTTTTTTCAAAGAGGGTGGCATAATTGGTTACTAGAAGGGGGTTATATATAGCTGACTGTTTTTCCCTATAGCTCAAACTGCCTCCTTTGAGAAAAATTCCGTGCTAACTTCCTGCTGTTCTTCTTAGAGGCACCTTGCTAGTCTTTGAAGCATTTCCTTGAAGCTCCCGGAATCCAAAATTGTCAAACATTAGGGGTTCCTCAGGGCGTGCTCTGGTCTTCAAGAAGCTTCTGAGAATGGGTACTCTCTGGAACAGCCTTGCCTAATATTATAACATTTGGCTTGGGAAAGAGATTGAGAGGAAGGGATTCTGAAGTGAGTTGAGAATTATTAGACTGCTTAGGGTAAGGGACTAGACCTGCTTAAAACTGCAGTGGCAGGGCAGTCCCTTCGGGTCCCCTTCCACTGTGGGAACTTTTCTGTCTTCTCAGTAAATCCTGCTTTCTCACACACACACACACAAAACCTGCAGTGGCAAAGACTTCTGAGCAGGCTGGGCTCCATTTAGGGGTTTAGCTGAAATATGTAATGTCTCTACAAAGTCATAGACAGTAGGGCCACTGTTGCAGCTATGGTGCTGAAGTATTCCACACAGTTTGCTAGGTTCTTGTCTTATGCCTGGTACTCTACTAAGCAGCAGAAATTTTCAGCTTTCCTAATCTCCCCTAGTTGAAACTCACAGGTTCATTGAACAATTATTTAGGTGTTTCAATTTCTACTGTGTATTTAGACACCAGTCTAGCTATATCTCAGAACTAACCATCATCCACATTTCAGAAATGTCATCCCTCATGGGCCCAACAACCTGAACAACATAGTTCTGCCTTTCGTGTGGAAGTGACGTTAACAACTTAATCCTTTTAGTTTCCTTTGTCTTTGAATTTGAGCTCTCATGCCTTCTGCCTCCTTCACAGGTGTATTGTAATGGTCAGTTTGGTTGCTTCCTGCTGTCTGGCTTTGAGTTTAGGGCAGTGTGCTGTTAACTGAAGTGACTGATTACTGTTAATTATGTGTTTAAGTGTTAGTACTTCTCATCTTTGAAGAATGCCTTATTGAGTATGAAATTGCAAACTGACAGGAATTAAGAAATACTCGTAGCTGATAAAATGCCTAATGTTCACTTTCCTAGATAAGAATATGCTCTTGCAGTTATTGTAGTTCAGACCTATTTAAAATAAATGCATGTTTTTCAAATGTAAGTTGTTCTTAAAGTGTTGCTTATGTTTTGCAGCTCTGACTTGGCATTTGATCTGGAAGGTTATGTTTTTATTCTGATAAATGATGTCCTGACAGCAGCAAATGGTGCATATGTAAAACAAAAATTGGATTCAAAGGTAAGCCATCTAAAGCTTCTTTTACAGATGTGCACTGATGTTGGGAATGGTGGTGTCAATTCATCAGGGGAAAAGTGGGGATGAGAGAACATGCTTAGAGTGATGTTCTCTTAGGGGGATGAACATGCTTAGGGAAAGAGACACGGGGCTCTGTGAGGGTTAAATGCCTGTCCTTTGGTGCCCACGTAAGAAACTTGGTTTTTAAATTAATTAGCACCTGGGTTTGATTGCTGGCTGGCTTTTCTGGGAGAGATGGTGTGAATGTGGAGTAGGAAAAGCAAAGGCTGTTTGTTAGAGAAGAGTGTCTTACGTGCTCGTGGCTGTGTTCTAGAGAACTTGGCGAAGGCCTGGGTGGAGAGAGAGAAAGAACTGGAAGCCTTTTGGCAGACTTAAAGGGAAGTGAGCATGCAAAGGGTCTGCAAAACAAGATGGCTTCGGGTGTGTGGTGTACAAATAAGGGGAAACGTCGGGGAGCGCTAGGGCCTCTCGGGTAGACTGAGGCCCCTGGCGTGGGACTTGTCCCCGTGAGCTTTGTCTGCCCAGCTCTTTGCCCTCCTCTTGTAGCCTGCACACAAAGCCTTGAAAGACTTTTTCTGTGTATTTACTATCTGCTTTGTGTTTTTTTGTTATTGTTGTTGAGTTGGGGTCTCTCACCCAAGCTGGAGGGCAATGGCACAATCACAGCTCACCGCAGCCCTGGCCTCCCAGGCTCAGGGGATCCTTCTGCCTCACCTCCCGAGTAGCTGGGACTGTGGGCGTTCACTACCACACTCGGCAAATTTTTTTTATTTTGTTTTCTGTAGAGCAAGGTCTTGCTATGTTGCCCAGTCTGGTCTCGAACTCCTGGGCTTCAGTGATCCTCCCACCTTGGCCTCCCAAAGTGCTGGGATTACAAGCGTGAGCTACTGCACCCATCTCATTTTATTTTTAGATCAAGCCAGACCATCAGAATGCTGACTATTTGAATCACATTGGTTTTGCTGCATTATGTCATCAGATTACATTACTATAAAAAACAACCAAACAGAACTCAACTTTATATATCCTAGGGTTGTTATTAAAAGAATTGCCCTTGATATCATAATGTGTCCTATAGGAGGACCCATACGAAATTTTTATCTTAGATGTCACTATGGTTTTTCTTTAGCTGCTGATACATTTTTATCTCAAATAAATCTTATAACCGGGGCAACCTCCTCTGCTCCCTTCCTGCTCTGGGAGCTTTTCTGTCCTCTCAATAAATCCTGCTTTCTAAAAAAAAGGAAAAAAAAATCTTATAACTAGTCATGACTTTATCTTATTTTCCTACATATACTTTCTCTTGAGTCTCATAACCTCATCTGCTTAGTTTTTGGCTGTTCTGGTGTGTATACAGTATTTCTGAATCTACTTAAGGTTCTTTTTTGGAGCTCGGATAATAAATAGAAATAAATGCCCTACCAACTTGAGAGCAGTGTTAGTATCCGACTGGCATTATCTTGGCCACGGATTTTGCTTTCTCCTCTAGAGAAGAAATTTAGATTGCATATCTATCCTAGGAGGTTTTGCTATTTTTAGAGAGATTTTTTGGGTATTTCTGAAGAACTAAGAGCAGGGCACAATTGTTTCCAATACATTTTCTTTAAATGTACTGTCTCTGCTTTGTCTGTCTTTGCCTTGGTAAATCTGTGTGATGATTGCATTTTAATGGAGGTGACTAGCAAAAATTTTATCTTTTAAAAGTGGCTGGAAAAATGGATAGTTTGAGATTTCGTCTTATACTGTTTTTTTCTTTGGCCCATTTACTGCTTGGAAAATAGGTACTACTAATAACATTTTCTTTGTGTAGCATCTTCAGCTATTGAGAACAGCACCGTTTAGTACAATTTCCCATGATGCCTGGAATCTCCTGTGTCTCTGCTGTCCATTAGCAACCGTCACTAGCCATTTCGGCCTTTGAGCACTTGGAAAGTAGCTGGTACAATCAAAGAACTGATTCAGAAGTTTTATGTAATTATAATTAAATTTAAATAGCATCATGTGGTTAATGGCTACCATATTGGATGGCACAATCTAGAGTACACCCGAGAACATAGAAAAAGAAAGAAAGAGCATTTCAGAGTATTTTATTCCTAGGCAAGCCCTTTAGTTTCTCACTCAGAAATTACTTAATGACTTATTGGTGTTAGAACTTTAAGCTCATTGATTTGTTTTTTCTAGTTTATGGATTAGAAGCAACAAACTGGAAGGTGGAATTCTGTTTAGAGGCAGAGGCTTACCAGCAGTATAAAAGGTCAGGTAACAACAAGAGAAAATGGAAAATTGTAAAGGACAGATAGGAATACTGAAAAGAAGGCTGGGCATAGTAGCGCACGTCTGTAATTCCAGCACTTTGGGAGGCCAAGGTGGGAGGATTGTTTGGCTAGGAGATCAAGACCAACCTGGGCAACATAGCAAGACCCTGTCTCTATTTTTAAAAAGTAAGAAATACTGAAAAAAAGTATGCAGGGATTATTAAACACTGGTAAGAGCAACACTGTTTAAGAACATACTTTTGCTGAGGTGAGTGGATTGCCTGAGCCCACGGGCTCGAGACCCGCCTGGGCAACTTGGCGAGACCTCATCTCTACAATAAATCAAAAAATCAGCCGGGCATGGTAGCGCGTGCCTGTAATTCCGGCTACTCGGAAGGCTAGGGCGGAAAGATCACTGGAACCCAGCGGGTCAAGGTTGCAGTGACTGGGAGTGGCCACTGCACTTCAGTCTGGGCAACAGAGTGGGACTCCAACTCAAAAAAACACACACACACACACACAAAAACATACTTTTGACACATTGTAATGCATCAAGACATACAGTAATGCGTGTTTATGATGACGTCCTAAGTCTAGTTTTTATTCATTTTACTGTAAGAAAACAGGACTAAAGATCCAAAGGAGTTAAATGTGAAAAGAAAGACAGAGCAGTTTTGGCATTTAAGTTCTGGTTTGTCAGTTATCTGGGTGATCTGTATCTGTGTGTGTACACATCCTCTGCTTCTGCAATAGCACTCAGGCCTCTGAGGACTGGACACCCATTCTGAAAGGTTGCCCAGTGTATCTTTTTTCTGGCTGCATGCAGTTGCAGCACATGTTGTCACTGATGCTTGTGGTGCGTAAGCAGTCAGTTTCTTGGCTCGTCTTGGAAGGCAGTGTGGCTGCACTGAGATGCTCTTAGTAATCAGGAGCCTTACTCCCTGTGATTTCATGTGACTCATGCTGTGATCATGGGCCTTTGAGCATGAGTCACATAGAATAGAGATTTAAAACATTTTTGGATTACATAACATAATACATGTTGATGATAGAAGTAGTAGAAAACAGAGGTAAGCAAGAGGGAGAAAATATAAATCATGTTTAATCCTACCATCACGTAAGAAGCACTGTTTTGGTGGATAGCCTGTACTCTGTGTGTGTGTACACACCTATGTATGTATATGTACATGTACAACTTATTTATTCTTCATTTAGTACTATTCCATAAACACCTTTTCATGTTACTCTGCATTGTTAAACATTTTTAATGGCTGTGTCATGTTTCACTGTGTAGCTGTAATATAGTCTGTTCAGCTAGTTTTCTCTTGTTGAATATTTGTTTTTAGTTTTTCAAAGCTGCTTTCGAGACAGTACCTTTGTATATCATTCAGTGATCTTTCAGTCTTGGAAGTTAGGCAGGTGTTGGACCCATCCATATCCTTATCACTCTTTTACCTTCTCCCCCAGCCCCCACCCCCAAGTCCTGGCCTACTTTTTCGGGTGACTCTGCTTCCTGCTGAATGTCCCAGAATTGTGTTTCAGAGATAGACTCAAAGCTCTTACAGGCTCCCTGCATATGAAGATGGGTGTTATCCTTTGTTGCTCTCCGATAGCTAAGGGTACAACTAATCATATTGTGTCTTGGAAGTTGCATTTATAGTCATGTTAGTCTTCACTGTACTTCATATACATAATTTGAGAATGACTTCTCTGGGAAGTGCTGTCTTCTGTGTTGGTGTAGCGTGAGTCTGTGTTTCTGGATCTGTCCATCCACCTCTTTTACATGATACTCTGTTATGCTTCGGAAAAGCCCAAGACTAGCTTGATGACTCTTGCTTCGGTTCTGGAAAGGAAACAGCTTCAGGGATCTATGTGAGTGTTGTGTGAGTTCAAAATAATCTCTTCCTTGCTTGCTGTTTTGAGGCAGTCAATTGCTGTCATTTTTTATTTCTCTGATCTTAAACATTTGAGGAATTTATTTCAAATAGGTTTAAAATCTTTTAAGTTTGCTTTTTGGGTGGGGGTCTTTTGAAAGTTCAGGTTATATCTTTATATTTGCAAAACTTGCCCAATTGGCTATGTCTTTTGTGGAGTATGTGCTTGCCATGTGTATGTATAATTGGGGTGATACTCTGTACAAGGTTGTATGTATCTATCTGCTAGAACCAAATGAAACACCTAATTATTTACTGTTCTAGGAGCTGGGAAAATACGGTCTGCTCTACTACAATGCACTGTTCATGATTCTGCCCACCCTGGCCATTGCGTATTTCACAGGAGATGCACAAAAGGTAGGATTTTCTGACTGTGGTTTAATGGCTTATGTTCATGAGTTACACTATTATTTATGACCAAAAGATAGACTTTTGGGTTGTTCACAAGAAATGTGCTTATTAAGTGACCAAAAGCTGAGAATTTACTCCTTAGCTAACCTCTTTTCTTGGCATAAACACTGGATAGTGCTAAAATGGCTCAAAATAGCTCTGGCTGTCAACATAAAAATAGTGCTTGCCAACAAGTGTCCTTATATGCCAGGAGGATAGAAGAGGGGAATTTTTGCACTTCTACTAAACTATAAAAATGGAAATTCTAGCAAACTATCCTTGAGAAGTAGAAGTCCTGAAATTATAAAATTCTCTAAACCCTAAATAAAGTGCTAGGCATTACTAGATGTTCTCTGTTTAGTGTACAATTGTCATCCTTGCTTAACTCCCAAATTGTTTTTTTCCCTTAGGAGATATTTAGATATTTAGCACTGTGTGATGACTTAGCCATAGAAACAGCAACTAGTGTAGTAGTTTACCAAACTTCTGCAAATGTTTAGCCAAATAGACCCAAAATAGAGCAGCAAAGTAAATCCAGAGAATTATTTTTCTCTAAAACAAGCTCTTATCCACAGGAGGAGCATTGATACCATATTTTTAGAATTCATACAATTTTGCAAACTAAATGGAAATCCAGAATTCTGCCAGGGATTTCTGTACAAGATTTATTCTAATGATTTCCCTTCTAGTAGCTTCTTCAGAATAAATGTGCTGGCTATTCATTCTAATTGACAGTGATGATTCTCACAAATCAGTGAGAGCTAGAATGAAATAAAGGTTTTCGGTTTGACCAAAGGCCAAAGACTGACAGCTTCTGAAACTTTTTTCCTGTCAGGACCTCTTTCTTTTAAAGAATTGGTACAGATCATCTTGAATCCATGTCTAGATGTTTTACTGAACTGTGACCTGGCTGCCAACAGGCCTGAAAACGGCACCAGAGTCGGAAACAGAGCTGTTGCTCTAATAAAGTGTTGAGTAGGTATTATGTGACCATGAGAAAAATAGGATGAGGAACTAACATTTACTGAGTCTTTATTGCGTGTGAGTCACTTTATTTATGAGTCTTCATCACAGATCAAGAAAGCTTGAATTACACCAGTTTTACTAATGTGGAAGTAGCGGTTCAAAGAGGCTAAGAGACTTGCCCAACACCATGCTGCTGGTGGGTCGTAGAGTCGAGATTTAAATCCAAGCTTGACTCTGAAGGCCACGGACTTTCCCCAGTTCTGCCTCCTTCCAGCACACTCTGGCAGGAGCACCCCTCACTCTTCGGCTTTGGGACAGGAATGCAGTACAGAATAGCCAGTCCCCTCATGGTGGGACTCGTAGTTCCAAATCTTGAGGCCAATCTATACATGAGAAAGTTGAAAGAATTAGTGTGGTGAGGTATTCTAAGGACTTAGCAAAGGTGCAACTTCCATTAAGTGGAAACTTTGACTAGTGGCTGTAGCCACTTGAAAGAGTTGACCAGAGGAGACACTTCTTTATTCCAGAGTGACGATAATTTATGTAGAAGTTATAGCATAGTTTATGCACATTTCAAAGCTCAGCAACTCACATTTAACTTAGAATGCTTCAGTATAATTATCCATGTTTGTTCATGCTATCAGAAGTTACTTAGCCACCGTATCCAGGTAAGACTTAGGTTTTCTCTGTTTTTGAGCAGCGGTGGAATCTGAGTAGTCTTTGTTTTTTTTAATGAAAGTGCCAGGCAAAGATCAGAAAGCTCTATTTTAGAGAATAACGTTTTTGAAAAATGTCAGTTTGTCCAGCTATTTTCAAGTTGGAATGATAAGCTAATGATGGAAGCTGAACTCACTGCTTTGTAGTCATACCTCATCAGTGTTTTGGGGTTTCACAACAAGGTTTGTTCATCCTCACTCTTATTGCTAATTAATATGGCTCTTATATTTATTGGGGTACAGATGGACACTGGCTAGCCTGTGATTTCATGCTCTTTTTCTTAGCAATCTCTCCTTAATGTCGTCTTCTCAGCATTCTCATGTGGTTATTAAGTACTGTGTGTGTCTCACTGCGTCAGTTCAGGTAATTAAAAAAAAAAGAAGATGAATTGAGTGGTATTATTACCTCTGAAGATCATACAGCTTCTTGGGGGGCAGACATGTCAACCTAAGAGCAGTATAGCGGGAGAGGTTCTATGGCACACTGTGGGGATATAAAATGAGAGTGGGTCAGTTCTGTCTCCTTGTTGAGGTTGGGGCAACCTGCCTCGTGGAGGTTTGCCAACAAACAGAACTACAACATAGATGATTTGAATAATAATTGTTTTTGTAGGTTGTGAATTGACTTTGAAACAGGAAGTGAGAGTTCTAAGTTTGCCTTTCTAAATTCCTCGTGTGCTTATGAGATAAGTCACTACAATTTCATTTTAAGTTCAAATCAGCTTAGTATTCCTGAGCGTCTTTACTGTGCTAACAAAGTCCTGTGCTAGGCTAGTCTCAGTGGCTCAGCCTGTCATCCTAGCACTTTGGGAGGCTGAGGTGAGTGGATTGCCTGAGCCCAACAGGTTCGAGAACAGCCAGGGCAACTTGGCAAGATCTCATCTCTACAATAAATCAAAAAATTAGCCGGGCAAGGTCGCGTGTGCCTGTAGTTCCAGCTACTGGGAAGACTGAGGTGGTAGGATCACTGGAGCCCAGCAGGTCGACACTGGGGTGGCTGTGAGCATGCCACTACATTCCAGCCTGGGTGACGGAGTAAGACTCCAACTCAACAACAACAACAACAAAAGAAAATCAGCAACTATTCCTCTAAACAGTCGATACTGAGATTCAACCCACATCAATTTTTTCCAAACCTGAATACTGATAGGACTTACAGATGAATATGCGCTTTGGTGTTAGACGTTATGCCATCTCAGTGTCATGCCAAATGTCTTCCTTGTGTGGCAGAGTTTACCTAGGTGACCTGTGGTGTCCAGGATGCTTACAGCATTTTACAAGAGGTTTGAAGTTTGTTTTCCCCTGGAAGATTCAGTTTCATAATGACCAGAGGTCTGTTTGTCAGAAGCCCTGGCAAGAAGGGTTTACGTTATGGGGGGGGGGTATGTGGCAAGGTTTCAGCGAAGAGTTTTCTAGAAGTCAGTTTCATTTTTAGTATGTCTTTTAGAGCTGTGTTTTTTCTCCTTCCTTACAATGTGTCAGGTGCTGTTCTAAGTTAAAAAAAAAAAAAGAAGACAAAAGTCCCTGCTTTAATGGAGCTTGTGTTCCAGTGGGGTGGGATAGACTACACATAAATTATACTGTATAGTAAGACCTGTGAAGAAGTAAAACAAGGAGGAAAATGATGAGGAGGTACTATTTTAGATCAGATGGTTAGGGGAAGTGTTTTTATAAGGTCTGTGTTAACAGACCCTGAACTGGATGGACAGAGAGACTAACTGGCATAGTTCTTTAGAGGGAGAGTATTCTGGGCCAAGGGAAGAACAAGTCTAGTCCTGAGGTCAGCCTGCCTAGTGCTTTTTGAGTAGGTAAATAGCGGGAAAAGTCAGGGCGGGCCTTAAGAAATGTGGAAGAGACACAAAAGATACATTACAGGGGGAATGCACAGCATGAGCACAGGCCCAGCTGAAGAAGTTGGAGGTCAGAGTCCTCGGCGACGTGGGAGGAGGCCTGCGAGAGCGTCTGGTTCAAGCCTCTTACTTCGTGAATGAAGTGCCTGGGGCTCGGAGAAGACTTGGAGCTAGAACCCAGGTTTCTTGATTCTAAGCTCACGCTTTCCCTTTCCATCATGCCAAGTCCTGCTTCTAAGTTAGGACGTGAGAATTTGAAATTTACTTTGCAGGGCGTGACAGGTCCTTAAAAGCTTGTGACGTAAGTGGCGCAGTGGAGAGAACCTGGGACCAGATGGAGGGACCAGCAGCCTCCAGTGCTGTCTGACTTCACAGAAGTCCCTTCTGCTCTCCCACCCTGCTTTGTCATATGCAGAATGAGAAGTTGGACGGCAGGTTCGCCAAGCAGGGCTCTTTCTGGGCTTGCGGCTGTTTCTGAAGAGTAAAGCCATGCCAGCGTGGACAGCACACAGCTGTTCTCATAGCTGACATGTGCCTGGTGCTCCCTGATCGTCAGTGTTGGTAAGCTGCTCTCAGCTGATGGACTGCTGGCCACTTTGCACGAAGCTCTCTGTATTATTGAACGAAAAGATCTCTGTGCTCAACAGTTAAATGAAAAAACAGTACAAGACAGCTCACGTGGGCTGTGCCTGGTGCCTTACACTTGTCATACCAGCACTATGGGCGGTGAGGCAGATTGTTTCAGGCATGTGCCTGTAGTCCTAGCTACTCAGGAGGCTGAGGTGGGAGGATTACTTGGACCCAGGAGTTTGAGACTGTAGTGAGCCAGTATTGTGCCACTGTACTCCAGTCTGGATGACAGAGTAAGAGAGACCCCGTCTCTAAAAAACACAAACAAAAAACAATGCATATGGTATGCTAATGTTGGGTAAAAGAAAAAGAAAAATAAGGATATATATATGCATACACACATATACTTTATGCACTTATTTGAGTAAACCCTAGAAGAATATACATGAAACTAGTACAATAACCACCAATTTTTGTGCATGTGTGTGGGAACAGGGTAAGTAGAACAGGAATGGGAGGGAGACTTTTTTTTTGAGTTGGTGTCTCTGTCACCCAGGCTGGAGTGCAACGGCAAGCTCACAGCCACCACAGCGTCGACCTGCTGGGCTCCAGTGATCCTTCTGCCTCAGCCCTCCAAGTAGCCGGAACTCCAGGTGCACACTACTACGCCCAGCTAATTTTTTATTTATTGTAGAGAAGAGATCTCACCAAGTTGTCCGGGCTGTTCTCAAACCTGTGGACTCAGGCAGTCCATTTGCCTCGGCCTCCCAAAGTGCTGAGATTACAGGCTAAGCCACTGAGCCCAGCTGAGACTTTTCAATCTGTTAAATCTTTCTGTATTTCTTTGGTTGTAAAAATCTTATAA